GGCAAAATCTTGGACTGAATTTAATCAGAAGCCTGGAGTTTTCAAACAATCGCTCTCAATTTCTGTAGGCAATTTATGTAATTGGCACATACATTTTTCCATTTCAATAACAAAACCACAAAAATCTTTATGTTCACAGACAAATCTTTAATATTGTAAAAGCAATATAGTATGCCCGTATAAACACACAAATTCCAAATAGAAGCATGATTCCCTGTTCTCTTCAGAGTCAGTAAGAACGCAGTCCAGATAAAGGAACAGGGAGGCAGAGAGCTCTTCTTTGCCAACTCCCTTCTACCACTGAAACATAAGTTCTGTTCAGACAAGATGCCATATGAGCCAACTCTCCTCCATCTGCTTTGACATTTTGTGCACAATTGAATATAACTGATCACAGCTCTCGGCATACATTTGTGGGCAGATTTTTGCTTGCACACGCAGTAGTATATATATCTTTGATCAAGTTCAGCCGAGAGCATTGGCCTAAGCAAGCAGACTTGGCAGAATTCTGAACCTTGGCTCTTCTATCAAGGCCGAGGGGTTCACACTACTTTCTAGAAGTTTGGTGCTTATGGAACAAATTCAGTATGCGTTTATATTAGGAAAATAGAGTGAAAACAACTGAAATAATGTCTGTTCCTTTTTTTTATTATAGCAAAACAGGCTGAACACAAAATACGGTTTATAAATTCTAAGCTTATGATCACAGACAGGACCCACAAACCATGAATGCCAAGTAAACACACACCAAGCTAAATGTCACAGTCAAATAAAATATGCATCAAAATTAATGATACGTATTTAATGATATGTGTAATCACAGTAATTGCTCCACTAGGTGGGAAGAGAGGCAAAAGACACATTTTTACCAACCTCACAAATCAGGTGTCTCTAATGGCCAACCATCCTGTTGCATCCTACTCCACCTCCCAAAGGACAAAGGCCCTGGCTGGGTAAGAAAGGCTCGGAGGCCACAAACACTCATTCATCCTCTCTAGTCCTTCCACAGGCCAGAAACAGGCTAGAACATGACATACAGAAAGGTCTCCGGGGGGGCAGGGGGCACGGTTATACTTTCAACGATAAAGATAAATTAAAAAAAAACAAACACAGAAAAACAAAGGTCTCCCTGCATAATTCCTGCTCAGAGGCTCCCATAAGCTATCCAAAGGACCAAAAACATGTCTTTCACTGGCCTTACTCTCACACTCAGCACAGAGTCAGAACCACTTTGTTAAAAGTCTGAGCCCTCAGAGGACAGGGGTGTTTCTGTGGTGAGATGAGGGAGAAAACTGGCGCGGCAGTGATGGGTCTTAGAAGTGTACCTTCTAGTGCATACTGGTGAATTAGTTTGCTTTCCTAACGTGGTCCTAGAGAGAGAGAGTAAAATTAGAAAAGGTGCCGCTAGAAAAACCCACTTCTTATATCAAGAACAGGCCTTATTCATCTCACAAGGGGAAAATTATTTTTCTTTTCCTATCCATATAAGATAATGAATGCTAACTAAACTTACTGTGGTAATCATTTCACCATATATGTAAGTCAAGTCTTTATGCTATACACCTGAAACATAGACAGTGCTGTATGTCAAGTATTTCTCAATAAAACGGAAAGAAAAAGTAATTAAATGGCATAACGTATGCTAAATTCCTGGTGTGTGATGAACACACAATAAATGCCGTTGGTGGTGGTCCCACCCTCTCCCAAATCCGTCCCCAGCTAGGCGAGCCAGCAGTGGGGATAAGATGACTACAATGGTCTGGCGCTATGATGCCACTCCCAGGACAGAGCCCAGGGTGGTGTTTGGTTTTAGTAGGAGGGTTCAGGGTGCAGGAATGTTTATAGCTTGCTCAGGATCTTTGCTTAGTTGAACTACACTCAAGAGGAATTTTAGGATACATTTCAAAATGGAAATACATAGAACTTTCTACATAACTTCAATGATTCAGGAAAACGAGAGGATAATTTCTATCCTCTCCCTGTTGTAAATGGCCCACTAAGGTTCTTTTATGAAAGCAAATAATGGTGACATTTCTACCAATTTATACTGATAATCTGGTCCTTTTCAGCTGACAGTGCAAATTATGTTCAATTAATACCAGCCTCCTCCCACCCACACCTGAGTGCCAAGAATAATCATCTCTTTGTAAATCACACAGGGCAAGTGTTGATCTAATCAAAGGGGTAATTTCATTATTAACTGGACTTGTGAAACCTTCTTGTGGACAAAAACCTTTTCATTGGCTAACAGACATAGGGCCCTGAAATGACTTTCCTGAAAAATAAAAATAATGTGCAATATATTATTTACATAGAAAGAAGGTGTTACAGGATAATCATTCTCGTAGTTACTATACTATGGGATTAAAGATAACTTATCAAAGTACTGTAAAACAGCACAAGTATTTAAGACTATAATAATAAACTTTGTAATAAAAGTTGATATGTCCAATTATGACATATGGTTTTCATAGAGAAAACTAATTAAAAGCAACTGTGTCTCGAGTACATTTTGGGATGCAGGCTCATAATAGGTAGTTACAGTAGCTCCGTCACTGATTAATACCTGAACACACACACACACACACACACACACACACACACACTTTGTGAGGAGCCTTTCTTATGTGAAATCTAAACACTAAGTCTTATTTGCTGAGAGGTCTAGATCAACTTCCACAGCAATGCTGGTATTAGAAGGCAAAAGTGATATTGCCTTATATCTTAACCAATTCCTACAAGATTTTGCTCTATGTGGAAAAGCCTTGAGGGGTGGTGGAGCTTTAACCTGCAATGGAAGGCAGAGTGGTGTGGTAAATATTTTTTTAAATCAGGATTCCTGATTCATGGTCCTGCTTCTTCCACTGACCAGAGCTATGACTTTGGACAAACCAGTTAATGCCCCTGTAGTTTTGGTTTGCCGTCAATAAGATTAGGGATTGTCCCATTGCCATTTGTGATTCTGTATAACAATCTATCTTATAGAAGGCTGTCAAATCACTGGCTTTCTCCCTGTTCCTATGAAACTGGGTGTTTTTAAAATATGTCCACAAATTCTTTGACACTTCTCCCTTTGAAAGGTGGAGTCTACTTCACCTCCCTGGACGGATACAGAAGTGACCCTGTGTGAACTTCAAGGCTAGATCAATCATTGAAAGTGATATGGTCTCTTTCTCTCACTTGTTCTCGCTCTCCATCTCACTCTCGCTCTCTCCTGGGACACATACCTTTGGATCCCTGAGCCACCATGGAAGATACCCAGCTACTCTGAAACCACCAAGCTATAGAAAACCAAATAAAGAAACCACATAGAGACAGAGAGAGAGGCCCAAGGAAAGTCAGCTGTTTGAATCTTCCGACCCAGATGATTGACATGTGAGTGAGGAAGCCTTTGAGATCACGCCAGCCTCAGCCACTGTCTGACTATAATATCATAAGATTATAGATTATAGAGCTACCTTTTACTAGAGCTACTCAGCTAAGCCACTCCTGAGTTCTTGATCGACAGAAACAGTGAGAGCTAATACATGATTATTGTTGTTTTAAGCCACTAACTCTTGGGGTGATTTGTTATATGACCACAGTAACTGGAAGAACTGTGATGGAATCAAAATTAGAAGGGAGAAATGCCACCCCAAGGTCAAACAAAGAAATACTTAGCATCCACAAGAACCACAGGAGAGAAGGCTTCAAAGTATTCAAGAATGATGAAGGTAGGTACAATTCACCAATAAATGCCACACAAAAACCCACTAGAATAATCACCTTTTTATTTCCAAACTGTGTGACCTTATTCATAGTTAAAAGAAATAGAGTAAGAATAACCCTAATTGGAACCATTTGAAATAAGCAACAAAACCGAAGGTAAAGGAACGAGCTGGGGCATCATTTAGTCATTTCTATGTAGGTACGGACATCACTGCTCACTTGCTTTCTGCCTCATGCCTTTCTCAGTAGACTGTGCAGTTGTGCAAGTGTTTCCCCAAACACACCTCCAAATAACTCTGAAAAGCAGGACTTCTCCTTTTAAAGGGATAAGTAAAAGAGCTGGAGTCCAGTCAGTAAAGGTGGCACCTATTATCGGACCAGAAATAGTGAGGCTGGGATAGCCCATGTGTCTGGGGAAGCTGACCCAAGGGTGATGCTCAGTAGATGGTAAGTGGTGGCCAGCAGAGAGAACTCAGCCACAAATCCACATTTTTCTTCCTGGCCCACCCACGGTTTTCAAAACAGGAAATTTCACATTAAAAGTCTAGACTTCTACCTCCTCTTGAAACACTGGAGGTCTAGTAACCCCAGGTATGCATTCCTATCGGGTCTCAGTCAGCTGGAGCTGACTAGCTGCTTCTCCCTTCAGACAGAACATGTGCTCTCCATTTGCCACAATCCCCACCACTCCCTATTCTATACCTGGGCTCCTTCACTCCTTTACATGTCTGGTCCCTGTGGGCATTTGAGTTTGTGTCTCTCCATACCCCACGCTGTTCCTTGCTCACTGTAGGTTTGAAACACTCAGTGGTTTGGAAACTCCAGTCAATTCTGATGTTCTTGCCCTTGGCCAATTTCTTTCCCTAAACTACCAATGTAGGACCATAACAAACCAATATGCTTCATGATTAAGTAAATCACCTTACAACAATGTTACTGAATATTGGGGTGCTGAGTGTGCCTCCAGAAATATAAACTGAGCTTATTTGATACATCCAAATGATTTTTAAAATATAGACTGTGTCCGTAACACAGGTCCAACATGCTCAGCCCAAATTAATGTAGGAAAGAATTAACTGCCAGTCATTTCTAAGAGAGGATGGGCAGAAAAGGAACAAAGAGACCTACATATCGTAAAGTTAAACAAGTTAATCACACAGAATATCTTCAAGGTGACTTCTATTGGGCACCTAACTAGGCAGTAAGGTCATTTACTGAGGCATTAAAACCAGCATTTTCAGGTTTCATGTGTGTGCGTGTTAGAGAAAGCAGAACAGGATTAAACAACTCACCAGTTCCAGACACTGTCTGTGGCCATAGGCAGCCGCGTAATGTATGCTGTTGTACCCTTCCTTGTCCCGGATGGACGGATCTGCATCATTTTGAAGCAGAAACTCTAGGCATCTGTAAGAATAAAGATGAGGTTGTTTTAGAAAATATCTCTGGACCAAAAGAGATAATGAATGTAAATTTCCTCCAATTATGAATGCTCCACCCTTTGTGAGTTTAAGTCTTTCTTTAAAAATCCTACAGCAGTGAGGGTGTATGTCCTGGAAGGCGTGTAGAGGTGTGTGCGTTTTCTGCAGCTTCCTTTATTTCAGCTTAAAATTGCCATTCTAGAATTCAGGAAAGCCTTTAGCAACAAGAGGGTAATTAAGTTCTTCTCATCCTCTCTGTCATCAGGGTCACTGACTAATAAGCGTCAGAGCCCCATGTTCAAAAGACGAAGTCTCAACTGTAATAAAGAAGCGGCCAGGCCCTGGCAGCAGGGTAAGCCTCACAGAGGGGGTTTATTTGTAACCTTGCCATTGGAGACGCTGAGACCAAAAGGCTGGAAAACGAAAGTTAAGAAGCATAAGAAAACAATAACAAAGAAACCAAGAGGAGCCTAAACAATAAAAGGATTAAAGGAATGGGTGACCGTTTTAAAAGCGTAATTCGGGAACCACAAAATGAAACAAAAGGCTCAAACTGCACCATTAGGAATTCAGACTAAAACAAATAATAAATAATACATTTTAAAAGGCTTTTATGACAAAGTTGTGATTCATCTAAAAAAGCCTCAATCTTTGGAATAGGTTAGAGGACGGTGTGTGGCTCCAGCTTTCCCAGGGCCCAGAGCCCCAGGACACAAGTCCCTGAGGATGTACATTCTGTTCAGGGCCTACTGCTGGGGAAAGGGGTGTCAGTCGGCAACACCACTTACTCCGTCATCTCAATTTTTATTTTTGTGGCAGTGGGACAAACAATTTCTTCACAAAACCAAGCTGATTCAATTTCATATCAAATCAAAATGGTAAGATTCTAAATATAAGCCTGTACTTTAAATAAGAACTTCCAATGGAAAACTTCTGTAGTTTACACAAAAACTTGAAAATGACATTTACCTATCTTTTGGCAAAAGGCAGAAAGAGAAAACAAATCGCACATAGCGACAGTTTAAAATGGTGTTTTAATTTCTAGAAAAAGTGATGAAAGACATAAATTTTTAAAACCAAATACCTCCATGGCACATGACTGATCCATAATAAGTCAAACTATTACTGGAGCCCTGATATCACACTGCCTTTGGTGATTTATGCCTTATAAGGAAGTCCTTTCTAGTTTTGGTAATTAAATGCCCATGGGCAGGATTCCAGGTGTGACTCCTTTTAAACCGAAGTTGGCTCTTTAAATAAAATCATTCAATAGGAACGGCATGCTAGTGGACACACAAGCCCCAGCTTCTGGAAGGATTATATTCTAAAGATCTGTTGACAAATTTAGTATGTAATTTGGAAAACACTTGGAATTGCTCCCAAAGAGTTATTTAATCTAGAATACACCCGACCTACACTGCCCACAGCGCTATTAGAAATAACAGCAGTCGTATAGAATTCGGAACAGTCCCCACATTGTTCTCCAAGGGTCAGTGAATAACACGACTTAACTGGAAATGCTTATCTTTTCTCCTCCCAGGGCCTGGCTAGCAATTTTGGCACCTCAGCTGCAGCATCGGGATATGCTCATTAGGTCAGGGGTGTATTTGGATAAGGGGAGTAGCCTCTCTTTGCACAAAAGATCTCTCAGGCGACGGGTCCTCGCCTTCCCCTGCCTCTCCTGCCCCTTCCCTCTCCACCAGCTATAAGAGGACTGCTCTGGCCCAGGGCAAGCTTGCATTTCACAGGAGACTGGAGCATTTGCTGAGGTGGCTTAAAATTCCACGGTCTTTAATGTGATTAGTTTAATTTTGGAGTAGCAGAGTAAAGCCTCGGCCATTCTGCTTTACTCAGCTGTGTTTCATGTCCCCACCCCAGGAACGTTATGCCCCACAACCTGCACCAGAGCCATACTCTCTAACTATATCCTTCTAATTTCTATACACAATTTCTAACTATATTCCATGGTTTGGACACCAGAGGAGAGCCTAGTGGGCGGTAGGAAGACCCTAGAGTGGGTCACAGCATTCAGATCACAGAGAAACTGGTTCCTCTGACAACCGGAGAGGGACTGTGTGTGTGCAGCCTCTTAGGGCCCTATAGCCACTGGGTCCCAAGACACAAAGTGTGGGCACCATTCATTCGTTTGTTCATTTATTCAACAAATACTTACTGAATGCCAGCTATGTGCTGGTCACCACGCTGGGCAGCACACGCTTGTCACTGTGACTTGTAGTGCAGGAAGGGCTTGCATAGGATGAAGCGTTAGGGCTTCCCATGAATTAACACCCCTGGGTGGTGGCAGTCCCTCCCACCCCTATCACAGCAATAGCTAAGCAGGTGGGATGGGGGGACAAGAGCAGCTGGCTGCAGGGAGCAGGGGCCTGTTTTTAAGTTGATGTGTGTGTTTGGGGGATGAAGAGGAAAGTGTATTTCAGGTGTATTTCACACAGAAATCTCAAAACATTTATTTACTGAATCCACTAAGTAATCATTTGCGGGTCATAAAAGGAGAGCCTAAGGCCCTAAGAGGAATTTCAATGTGTCGCCTGAGGCACATGATACATGGCAGAGTCAGAAATGATATTTGAGTCACACCTGGTTCCCAAACCTGCTGACCAATCACAGTGATGGACATGTCAAAGCTGACAATTTCAGAAAGAGTACCCTGGGTGAAAATAGCATAATTAAAGGATGTATTAAAAGACAGTTTCTTCTTCATTAAAGACAAGCCCACATCACTTTCTCAAGATCCCAAGAGAAACCCCAAAATAGTAAGGCTGGCCCGGCCGGGCATGGCTCAGCGGCTGAGCATCAGCCTAGGATCCAGGTGATCGGGGTTCGATTCCCAGTTGGGGCACATGCCCGGGTTGAGGGCTCGATCCCCAGCTGGGGGTGTGCAGGAGGCAGCCGATCGGTGACTCTCTCATCATTGATGTTTCTCTCTCTCCCTCTCCCTTCCTCTCTCTGAAATCAATAAAGATACATTAAAAAAAAAAAAAAAAGTAAGGCTGGCCCACATGGCAACTCAGAGAAGTGACAGAGCATCGTAGCTGCACCTGTGCTTNAGTAAGGCTGGCTCACATGGCAACTCAGAGAAGTGACAGAGCATCGTAGCTGCACCTGTGCTTAAGCTGAGACGTAACTTACAATGCAGCTTCCTTCTCCTTCAAATCTCTGGCTCTTTCAAGTTCTTCTGAATTTTCATGGGCGTTTCCCAACGTAGTTTTACTTCTCAGCATAAGGAAAAGAAAAAAATTACAATTAATTTTTTAATGGCAAAGTTTCTAATGATTTTGGTGCAATTTAAATATCAATGATTCCCCCACAACCCAAAAGAGATAAGCACTGTTGAGTTTTCAATGAAGATATATATTATACATGGTTCTCTCCAGCACTATGCAGGAAATCCATTTTCTCCCAAGGAATCCAACTGAGAATGTGACTTTCCTAAAACTTCCATCCAGGTATCAGCAATTAAGACATCGACCAAGCTGTCTACCCTTCCATAAATATACTAAACACTCCAAGTTAAAAAGAGGTAATTTAGCTTAAACTTCTCTGACTCCTACCACTTTCTTTGCTGCCTCCTCACCAATTCACCTCACTTATCCAGGAATGGGGTCCTAATCACCCCTTGTCTGCCAAAGCAATTCTTCATCATCCAGGATTCCTTTTCCAGCTCTTAACAGATGAAGTATACTTGTTCCCTGATTCTATTCCAAGTGAATAGCATAGAGCCTGGCACATAGTAGACACTCAATAAATGTTTGTTGAGTTAATAACCTGCATGGCTATGTATACTACATCTGACTTGCCAATATTATATTAAACATGAAGGGGGGGAAAGTAGTGTTTTCCAAACTATGGAAATATGGCTCATAATCCATCACTGAACTATAAAATCAATTTAGTGGGTTGCAATCACTAATCTTTTAATGAAAAGAACATGGAATGTATTATGCATAGTAAAAGTAAATACGGCTTTATAAAATTTTTGTTTCCATTTAACATACATAAAACATATACATGTGACTGCATGTGCTGGGCCATGATATACAATGTACTTCTTACTGTGAGTCACTGTCTAGAAGCCACTGCTCTGTAAGAAAAGGAGATAGCACTGACCTAGGATCAATTCCACAGCATGAGGCAGCAGGCTCAATAGCTTTCAAGAGAAGGTCACTAAGAACTATTCCTATGAAGGAGGCCCTGGTCCTTGTCTTTGAAAACAATCTCATAAATCATGGACACCTCTCCTATGCTTTCCCCTTGAACTGGTTCACTCAATTCTGCTTTCCATCCTAGCCACCCAGAATCCAAACGTGTCCAGGGCAACAACTTCCTTCCCACTGGCTCCTGAAAGAGCATTCACACCCAGGCTTGGAACAACAGTGCCTATTTTACACATACTGACACTGCATTTGAAGGCTCCCAGGATTACGCATAGATGGGTATTTTTGACATATGACATACATATTAGCAAATGTAAGTTTTCCAGCAAATGAAGCATTTAAGTGATAATGAAAACTGCAGCATATGACAAAATAAATTATAACAGATTTTACAATGAACTGAAAACCTCGTCTTGACAGCTCCACTTGGCATTCAACCCAAAAAACAGAGAAGTAATTGTGCGGTGACATGTAATAATCACACGTAAAGTGAGCAGAATGGGGGAACTGGGGATAGGGGTGAAGCATTTCCAACTCCTTTGGGTCTGGGTAAGACAGATTCTTCAGTGACAGTTTCCTTGAGGCAGAATGAAGAAAATCAGCCAACCCTGCCCCTCCCGGCCCTCCCCCCAGAGGAAACGGGAACAGGCTGTCTTTACTTTCTATCCATGTCTGAAGCAGCAGCGTAGTGCAAAGCTGTCCGTCCCCAGTCATCTGTTTCATTAACATTGGCCCCCGTGGTCACTAGTGTCTCAATACAGTGGAAGTGACAATTTGCAGCTGCATAGTGCAAAGGGGTCCTGGAAAACAAACAGCAATTTATTAACTTCATTCAGTCTGAAGAAGAGACCCATCATCAGCACTAGCACTGACTGCAGTATTCCTATGGGCGTGGAAAGCTCTTCCTCTCTCACAGTGTGGAGGCCAAGGGATAGGCCTTCCTTTGACTTTGTAAATTGCAACTGAGGCTACAAAAACAGAGGCTTCAGACAAGACCATCCACCTGCCGGTCTATTCTTTCTTTCCCTTCCTCATGCCTACCCTGACTCAGGTCTACATTACTGCTTATATGGGATATTGCAGTACCATCCCTATTAGCCTATCTTGACTCAAACTTCCATTGAATTTCTAGTTGTTAAGAATGAAGAACTAGGTCTTCTAAGGTCCAATACCCACATATGACAATCCTGTCCCAAAACTTTGGTTCTCTCCACTGAACAAAAAGCCTTGATTCCTTAGTCTGAAGTTGAAGACCTTCCCAAGCTGGTCCCAATCTACCTTTATGGAGTATCTCTCTCTCCCCTAGATGAGCCCATTATTGAATCCCAACTAAATGGCCTGAGGTTTGCTTGTGTCTTTATTAATTAGACTGAAAATTATTAGGTATGTGGCACAGCCTGGAGCTAAACAGAAAATGAAGCCCAGTCCTTGTCCTCAGGAGACCCATAGTCAGGTGAGGAGAGAGGCAGGAGGCAGAGTCCACTGGAACAGTGTGGTAGATGCTGCAGTCATGGAGCGGGGGGGGCAAGGGGAG